CAAAACTAAGTAATATGCAAATTAGAAATGGTTAGTAAAATAAATACCAATTAAATACCAAGTACATTACAATATGCACAATGTAATAGAATAAATTTTTTATTTATTTTTTTTTTATTTTTACACAAATTATAGGTTTGTCATTTATGCAGAAAGTTTGAAGTCCACAGTTCCAAAATTAAATTAATTAATAAAACTTGCTTAGCAGCTTTAGACAGGTATGTGTAGCAAGATGTCTTATAGCTTGAAGAGATAAGTTTTATAACACAAAATTAGACAAATGTAAACAATACCAAACACTTTTTATTAGTAATATACACCTATTGATCACATTCTTCACTTGAGATTACCAGTACTAGTTATGCTATGTTATATATCAGATCATCTTTTTGTTTTCTTTATCCATTTTATTTAATGAAGTGATCCTCTTTAACTCTAAATCATGCGCCTGATGTCTCTGACCTTCCTTTAACCAATATAAAGACCTAATTCAAGTATGTTCAGATTTTTAAAAAAAAGACAATATACTGACAAAAAATATAATTAAAAAAAAATTACATTTAATTTTGAGAAGAAGGAAACAATAATATTGCAGCTATACAATAATCATTTTGTCATTGCAATGTGATAGACTCCCCAATAATTTTAAAAATTTATTTGTAAAATGTTTTGATGAACCATAACAATTTTTTTTAAAGTTCTGACACTTTCACAGGTAGTTTTATGATATAGTTGATTAACTGGGCATTGACACAACTTTTTATTTAATGGTTTATAGTTCGCTACTTTCACAAGTCTGGATGTTTCCAAGTGCAAAAGGAATTGAAGAGTTTGATGAAATTGAATATGTTGCAGACGCTAGATGCTTATGTGAGCCCCAGCCAGGCAAGAAATGCAGAGCTTTTTTGGGAAGAATTGTTAGACACTGCAATAATCCTGTCCTTGCTCTTAAAGTAAAGAACTTTGAATTCAAAACTAAACCTAATGCTAGACATCAGAAATTCAATCAGTTGAAAAAAGTCCCATTTTTTGTTGATGACATTACACATGAAGATATACAAAGGTAATTTATTTTTATGTATTTGCAAACTAATGTAATGTTTTCATTTGTCAACAAAGATAAGTTTAAGAAAATATACAAATAAAACATGATTTAAAGAGATAATTGTGCAACTTTTTATTATTGGTTGTCTTGTAAATGATGAAATAAAATAGTCAAGTGAAATCAAACCTGCTTAAAAAATATATAACTGTTTAAATGCCTATTTCTTCATGGGACCCATGGAGTTTATCTGTGTGAAAGATATGATCAAGAAACTTGTTTAATTATTATCTTAAATACCTCAATTAGAGAATTTTCATTCATTTCATTTTTCATTATGGATAATTTGAGTAAATCATTAAATTGGGATTAGATCTTTTGAATCTTAAAAACTAACGAGTTCCATCATACAATATTGTATTCTGCAATGTTCTTTGGAATATCATTGTCACTTCTCTGTCTTCTGATGCTGTCATATTTTGCTGTTGGACCAAATAACAGCCGACCATAGGGATGTCACCTTCATCTGGGTCGCCTCCCATGTGGGCATTGAGGGAAATGAAGCCACAGACAGAGAAGCAAAGAGAGCCCTAAATCATGCGGTGTCAGGAACCCAAATTCCCTGCTCGGACCTGAGACAAAGTATTGCCTCTGCCACCTACCAAGAGTGGCAGGACCGATGGGGGGCTGAGACTCACAATAAACTCAGGCAGATTGTGGCAGATGTCGGGTGGCGGTCCACATCTAAGGGTCTGACAAGGCGTGGTAGCAAGACCATGTCCAGACTTAGGATTGGCCACAATACATCACGCACTTTTTTGTGCTGAAGAAAGAAGAGCTCCCACTTTGTGAGTATTGTGACTCTCGCCTCACCGTGGAACATATCCTCATCGACTGCCCCAGATACCAGGATGTCAGGGAGAAATATTTTAGAGCCACTAATTTAAAAACACTATTCAAATAATGTTGACCCTGGGAAAGTACTGGGCTTTATCCGGGAAGTGGGATTGTCTACGAAGATCTGATTTATGAATTTGTAAACATGTACTATTTACATTAGATTTTTACCAAATTATTAAATTTTTACTATCTCTACTATTTTAACTGTGAATAGACCTTGATTTTAATGATTTGACTGTATGGAATTTGGCCCTTGTTGTGTGGAGGGAGAGTGGCCCTTGAGAGACTGCAGGCACGACATGGCCTAAATTGTGCCGATGTGCCCAAAATCAAAATCAAATCTGTCATATTTCAGCTTGTTTTTTGCTTCACTTAGATTATGGAGTTTTCATTTTAGTGGTAGAGTGCACTTTCCTTGTTATTGGATGAAACTTATTAGTATTTTTCTATTTGTTGAATTTTAACTATTCTGGCATATTTTGATCTTTGCTTAATAATGAGTTTTTTGGCTGAGTGACAACCTTTTTCAAGGAGACTCACGATTGAATCCCGTCTTGAGCTAAGTTGTGTTTGCTGAGTTGAAACCTTCTTCCAGACATGCGTTATACAAAAACAATTTTTTTAAAATTAAGAATAACAGTTCTGAATTATTATTTTTTTTATAGTTGTTTACCAGAAATGTATCCTGTTTTAAGATGTTGACCATTGCACTGAATTCTCTGGTGTTTAGTCCAGAATTTTTTTTTCAGTCACTTTGAGAATATAATTAATTAGTTTTATTAAGATCCTCAAATTCGCAATGATCATCATGTAGATGGCTAATCAAAATCTTTTGTTTTTTGTCTGTGTAAACAGAATTTTGTTTCAAATGGTGGGAGGGGGATAATCAAAATATTATTATTCATTGTCTTCTGTTTTGAAGGAATATATTTAGTTTATAAGATAAGAATTACACTTCTGTGAATGAGATTTTTAGGACTCTTTAAAATTCAATTGGAGTAAGTGGCTCTACAAAATGTTGGATGACTGCCTGGTTGTGCAGTTTGCGCGCTGGATTGTCGTTCGGACTTATCAATGATTCTGGGTTCAAACCCTGCCCGCTCCCATCCTCTGTCATCCTGGACCAGGAGTAAATTATCTTCAACCCTGAAGGAACATCCGAAACATGGAAAACATTTTACAAACAAACAATGTTTTATGATTCAGTTAGGTGGATTTCATATCTAATTTAGTTATAATGCTAGTACCCAATTACATTCATGTATGATTTTGTATTTTAGATATATTTCTGAAGATTCGTCAATGGTTATAAATGAGGAAGTCCATGCTAATGAAACACATGGTAATGTTTCTAGAAATGGCTCAAATAAAAGAGATCACTCTTTAGAAGGTAATTTTGATTGCTGTTTATATAATTATAAAGAACAATAAATCAAATTAAGATACTGACATTTTAGAAAGTTACAGAAATGGCAATAAAGTTGAAGCAGATGTAACTAAGAGGCTTGGTGGCTAAGGGATAAAGTGATCGGCTTCCAAACTGGGGATCCTGGGTTTGAATCCTAGTGAAAACTGGGATTTTTTATTTCAGGATCTTTGGGTGCCTCTGAGTCCACCCAGCACTAATGGATATCTGGCATTAGGTGGGGAAAAGTAAAGGGGGTTGTCCTTGCCACATGACAGTTAACAGTTGGCCACTGAAACAGATGACCTTTACATCATCTGCCCTATAAATCGCAAGGTCTGAAAGGGGAACTTTACTTTTACTTTACTTAAGATGTATCCAACCAGAAAATATGTCAATTATTAAGAGTATAAACCAAAACTAATGCAAATAAAAAGGAATTACTTTATTCATAGCAAACCTTCTACTCAGATACAAAAATTTAGACCATAACTTTTCAAATATAATTACGTAACTAAAAAAATATTCAGAAAAAACGCATGTCTTATTCCATAGGCTATGACAAATTCACATAAGTATTCTTTTTTTCCCTAATATTTCTAGAGCATGAAATGGGTTGCCTAATTAATTTATATGTTCAGAATGGTTAATCTACAATTTAAAGTTAAAAGCCTATGTAAAAAAAAAGGTATCTATCATAATGTATTTAATTTCAGCCCGAGAAACAGACAAGAGACAGAAATTAGAACCAAATACCCAAGAGGAAAATAGTTTGGAGGATGTATTGAATAATATTGATGCTATTCTAAAATAGTATAATGACATTTCATTTGTGCTTTGAATCCTATAATGAGATTTTAAAAAATGTTTTATTATTTGCTTTATTTTTTTTTACTCTTTTACAATGAAAGACATTTTATAAATGATTGATTGATTGATATTAAAAATATGACGCCCTCTCTCATTATAAATATTTTTTTGTTGTAGAAACATACAGATAGCTCTATATATAATTAAAATGAATTGTTAACTCAATGACAAAAAAAAATCAATAGAAAAACAAAATATCAGAGAAGAATGGAGCCTATTATACTCTTTTGTCATTTTTATGCTTTAACATTACTGCCGCAAATAAATGACAAAATAGAAATCCAACCTCCTCCTTCTGTCATTCTCATTCAAAGAGCTCTTTGGATTATATCCTGATGAAGACTGGACTTTAAACTGCAGCATTTTTGACACCCTTTCATCCACACAGCTCTAATGTAGAGCTAAAGGCTAAAAACAAATTTTTAAAAAAAATGTAAAAAATATGTCAAATTATTTGAACTAGAATCATCCATGCTTTGATGACTCAGGTGAAAACAAAATCTTTTAACATGTAACAATCAACAGGAAAGACAATTATTAGCAGATAATTATTTAATAATCAAATATATCTTTCAAATGTTGTTGACTCAAAGGAAGAAAAATAACCATGTGAGTATTATAAGGGATTAGTATTATGTACTCACGGGTATACCAACACTAATAATAATCTGTTCTTCTTTGGAGATTCCCATCTTCTTGGATGACTATAAATAGCTGGCATTTTGTTCTATCCAGTATACAGAGTATAGAATATTTTTGTATATATTTAAAAGGTTTACCATAATTTTTTTTTTTACACTTTTTTAGCATTGTAAAATCAAAACTGTAAGCTCTTTTGCTAAAAGCACAATCTGTTATTACTTATTTTAAAAAAGTTATCTTTCATTATGTTGTCCTTGACATTGTTTAGTTTTCTATTTATTTAAAGATCTCTTCAAACCTACCTCTTTTAATTTCTTGTTTTCCTTTAGGTTTTCTTATATTGCCTCCACATCACTTTCTCTTCTTTTTCTGTTTCTGTATCTTTCTTAAAGAATGTCAACTGGAACTTAAAAATTGGACTACAAAGGAGGAGATTGCTGGTTTTGTCATTTATTATGCAAATCCCCAAATTTTTTATATTTTTGTTTTGCTCTTAGTTTCTTTTTTTTTTTACGTTTACACTTAATTGCTTTGATCAAAACTATATCTGCCAAGAAATAAAATGTATATATGTTGTTCAAATGTTCAAAACCCAAACATAAAAATAGCACATTCTGAACTAAAAATATTTATATGATGCAACAACAATGCTAATGATGATGTTTTGTTACAAATGAATTTTTTTTAAAATCTGGATTTTAAAAAAATTTCTGTTGTTTATTAAGTTAATTTTAATTAACGTTCATCAATTCAACATATCAAATAAATTTCCTTCAGGAAAAATAAAAAGTGTTCCTTTTTTTTAAATCTACATTTATGATACTGTTTATGTATTTATTCACTCGTATGGGCAGGGTTTAATCTACGAAAGTGGAGTGAGGCAGGAGACCTTTTTTTTGTACCCGCCATATTAGAGCCCGCAAATTTTAATGGCTTGACCCTTCACTTGTCTCCAGGGCGGCGGCTGATCAGCTCAGCATAAGCTATAGACCCCGACAGACAATCTCTACACCAGACGAGCGTGCAGGGGTTAGGTCAGTCAGAGCTTAGCATTTTCCCCAAACCTAACCAGCAGAGCTCTGCACCAAGAGAGCGTGAGAGCCTTTTTGGAAAGACTCCTCCTACTCTTCTGCATTCTAGCAATGGTTCACTATCACGACCAGATCTTTCTTTAGTCTCTGCTAACTTGGAATCTGTCATAACTTATCAAGTACTAGGCGATATTGGTAGTGACCACATTCAAATATTACTGACTGCCACTCTTTCTAAAATCAACACCAAGGAGCCACGAAAGTGGTGCTATACTAAAGCTACTTGGAAAGGATATGAGACAGCTGTCGACAATGCCCTTGAAAAAATCCATGTAGAGTCTAGCTTTGTCGACCTTGTATGCCGTCAAATAACAGCAGCTAAACGTGACTAAAAGTTTATTCTTTGAAATTACCCTTGTAAAAAAATCAAGAACTTTTGGACACATGAAATCAACAAACGGCTTTGTAAAGGGCACACCAAAAGGTCCAAAAGAACTCAATCCAACACCCAGGCAGAAATATAACAGACTCAGCCTACTAGTCAAAACGTCTGTTAACAGGAAAAATCGAGAACGTTGGACTAACACCTGTGCAAAGTATCACCCTCCTAAATCCTCAAGCATGTAGGGGGGAAAGGAAGGGCCGTGCTCTTCGTATTTGTAAATAGAACCTGGGCTGATGGTCATCTGCCCAAGGCCTGGAAACGTGCCACCATTATTCCTATATCAAAAAAGGGGAAAGATGCTACCACTGCTGAGGGCTACAAGCCCATCTCACTCACATCTTGTGTGGGAAAGATGTCTGAAAAAATGGTAAATGAGCGTCTGGTTTGGTACCTTGAGAGTGCCCGTCTTATAGCTCCAGAACAGGTTGGTTTAAGGGCTGGAATGACCGCTATAGACCAAGTCAACATCTTTATGCAGAGCCTAGCAGATGGATTCCAAAGGACCGAAAGCAGATACGCAGTCTTCATTGACTTAAAACAGGCATATGATAAAGCATTGCTTTTTTTGTAAGTAAATATATAGGTGCCGGACTCAGTGATGGATTGCCTAACTTTTAATTACTAAAAAATTAATAATAAACGTTAAAATATAAGAAAAGTGCTCGTTTTTGCGTATCGGCGCGTAACGTCACAAAAAAAAAAGCACTGTGATAAAGTATGGCGGCCTGGTTTGCTTCATAAGATAAGAGCCGTGACGGTGCGGGGACGGATATATTACTGGATTAGAGACTTTTCACAAGAGCGTACAATAAGAAAAAGGATGTTTCACATGAAATTAATGTAAATTTTGCAGAATTGGAAAGAAAATAGGTGGCCATTGAGATTTCTGAAGATGATGTTATTTCATTTTTCTGTGAAAGAAGCCAAGATAAAGGAAATGTTACACTGTGTCAGTCGAATGATATAGGCCTACTTGAATATTGTAGGGGATTTGTCTTTTTGGCTAGTGCCAAGAATGGCTCTGATGCTTCCAAATGGGGACGATTTAGTCAACTAATAACCAAAAAAAATATTCTTTTGTTGTCGACTATTTTCAATTAATTGTATTGAAATGAAATAAAAATTTAATGTGTAGTTGAAATAAAGTGCAATATTGGAATATTAAAAGAGGTATGAAGAATTCATCTGGATTGGAAAATTGGAAAATAAGGGCATCCGGCTACAGATACAATTGACAAGGAAGTCGTCGCTTTGATTGATGTAAAGAAGTAAAACAATGGAAGGAGATATTGCATGGAAAATGTGACATTTTGTGACCATATTAACGACGAGTCTTTATTGAATTAAAAATTTCCACGAGTTGTTGAAAATAGAAAGTAAATAAAACCAATAGCTGAAAGTAAATCTGTCATGCTAAAAAGTTGATAAATGTTTTAGCAAACGACGTAAAAGATATTTAAGTCAGACTGACTGTAAGCACCTTTGTATTTGGTTTGACAAAAGAGCACACCTGACCTATAGGACACGCTGGATCAGCCTCTTAAGTTATACGATTTTAAGGGAGACCAATAAAACGGAAGAGATCAACTGAATATCTTCAAATGTCTAGAAAAGGATGAGCTTGAATTTATATGTAGAGATATGAAAATGCAGCTTCAATGTCTAAAACCATGGAGGAGTTTAGGAAATTTATTAAGAACCAATAGAATAGCTATTTAATAAGTGTGTAGGGCCTATAACATTCACTCAATCAATGTGGTCAACATTCTTGTTCAGAAATTATTTTTTTGACAATCATTTTTTGATACGATTGAAATACTTTTTTCTATCTGAAATTATTGCCACTGGAGGCGCAGCTTAAGATCTTTTATTTTACCTATCTTTACTTTTTTTTTGGGGGGGGGCGGGGGGAGATGTACAAGTAGGCCAAAGATACACAAGAGTAGGCCTGTCTTAAATCTATTGACAATGTGGTGACTAATCGAAACTTTTCTTTAAAGGGAAACTCCGATGGTTTTGACAATTTTTGATATAATATGTGTTTTGATTTACAGATAATGAATATATTATTATTTTGTTTTTATTTGCAATAATAACTTGGTAATTGATACTTTTCTGACGTAATTTTCCTGCGCATCCAAAACGGTCAAACTTTCACCGGGTTTCTATGTGACGTCAAGCATGCCTATTAATTTAATCTATTGACTTACTGTATAACGGAAAACCATACAATAATACATTCTCGTAAAAGAAATATATTTTCGTCTAAGCAGTTAGATCTAAATCTTGTAATCAAAGAAAAAAATGCGTGTTAAAAAAAATTTACATGCTTGACTAACCACGGCAGTGTGTATCTTCTCGCCTGACCACTCAACACACAACAAACACTATCGCTTGGTTGTCTTGTCCTGACCGACTACACGTAATTTCGACTAGCCTTACACTGACCAGTTTGTTCAAATCAGTCGGACCTGCGATCTATTTACTTCTTGGGACAGGGAGGGCCTTAGATGAAAATATTACTTTTTTTCTCGAGTTGGTTATCCTAATGCTTTTAAATCTATCTATCTATAACTGTACCATAGCGCTTGACTAGGCCGTCACTAAGCCTAACAGCTACTTTAAGAATGAAGCGATACGATTGGTCAAACTAGTTACCTTATAAATATTGTTGAGGGAAGTAACACGTATGCCTAACCTAAAAACAAAATCTCAAAGAACCCCGTTTTTTGGGAGATGACAAGAGTTTACTGACTAATTTATTAAATATAAATGTTTCTAAGCATTTAAATAAAAAATGGTAAAATGTTTACTATTACAACTTTTTACGCAGAATTTAAATATGTCAATAACTCAAATTTGAAAAACCATTGAAGTTTCCCTTTAACAAAAGCATAACATTTTACCCCTAAAAGTTATTTTAAAAATGGTCATATGTAAAGAAAAAGCAATGTGATTCATAAGAAAAAAAAACACACTAAAAACAAGAAAATGTCAGGCGAGCGATCACAAGATGCCGAACTCACTATTTAAGAAGAGAAAAAGCGGTTCATTTTTATGTGCATTGACCTTTTTATTACTGAGCAACTACTACTGGAAGCAATCATTTAAGTAGCACATAAATATGGAGCAATCCAACTGAAAATTTTTTAGTTCAACAACCAACAAAGTATTGTAGATGTCAGTTTCAAAATATTGGTGTACATGATGATTTTTCAAAAGGCGACATTCAAACAGAAATACCATGACTGAGAAACGGGAACAAAAGTTATACTTTTAGAAAATACAATTTGACAGTGCACGATTCATATGCCACTAAGAGTTTAAAAAATATCTCTAAATCATTTAATAAAGCCTTCCTATCTCTGCTTATCTATGGTGTCTCATGTGTAAAAGGATTTTAAAAATTAAATTAAGAAATTTTTTGAGACAAAGGAACAAACGACACTTTGACAAAGAAGAATTTTATTAAATAGGAGATCATTATAGTCTATAATTTTTAATTAATGATACGTTTTCAAGTTTTAATCCATTAAAAAAAACTGTAATTTACTTATGGTTGCATTGTTGAAAAAAAAACTATATTAATGGCAATGTCTTCGAATCCAAAGATTAAGTATGTGTGCAGAAATCAGATGTCTACGTAAACCAAGTAAAATGTAGATAAATTGTAATAAACAACTGAATTTTAAAATTTAATAGAAACTCATTTTATAGTTGTTAAACAATCAAATAACGTAGGTAATTATAAACTATATTTATTACAGCTCAACAAACAAACGAGAGAAAAAGATTTTATAAAGAGGGGGGCAGGGGTGATAACCAGAGCTGACCGCACCGGGTGACACCCACCCTAGTGACGCCACTGCTCCGAAATGGTCTACACAGTGAGGTAAAAATTCAGGTTTCAATAATTTCAGCATGAATGTCAGAAGTTATGGCTACACACTATCAACATCATCAATTTACCTCAAGCCTCCACCCTATAAATGTGTGCAGAACAAATTGTTGACAATATTGTTTTGTTAGGCTTTGCTAATATTATTATTTATTAAGTGAAAACTGATTGTTACAAAGATCTAGTTTAGTATAAATATAGCCTAACAGATGTTATTAAATGATTATCTAATTGTTGCTAGTTGAAGGGCCATTCATGGCTTCTGGAAGTTTGAGTCTAAAGGAATAGAGGCTATTGTGAATAGAGCATCAAAGTAAATAGCACTTCTTAATATTTGTTTTAAAATAGATTTAATTATATACCTACAAAATGCAATCTTTCTTTTTAAAACAAAAATAAATATGTTATGTAAATT